ACTTTGAATCTCTCGAAGAGAAGAAAAAAAAAAAAAAAAAAAAGAACCTATTCACTGAGGGCCAGCTTTAACACCTGAGTTATTCCCCACCACCATTGCCACTGAGAGCTCTATTTTATGAGAAAGATTTGAACGTCTGCTTGTTCTTTTGACATTAATATGCAACCCTTCCTTGTGTTTCTCTGATACTTTGTGCTATTAACCCACCTACTTCTAAGTTACTCATTTCTTTTTCAACACCCCTTAAAGTATTTCTTGCCCTTGTCAGAGGCCAAAGAACTTTGTCCTAATTGCTAGTGTCATGTTTCCTTCTTTCCCTCACTTTTTGTGTGTCATGACTCTACATGTTTCTTTAATTCTTTTACTAATATTCATTACCCACATCACTTTTTTGAAGAGTCATAGACAATTCTATGGAATTCTATGCTACTCAAACATTCCCCCATTTTTTTGAGATAGGATCTTTCAGTGTAGTTCAGGCTGACCTTGAGTTCACTAAATAGCCAAGGCTGGCCTCAAACTCGCAGTGATCTTCCTGCCTAAACCTCCCAAATACTGGGATTGCAGACATGTGCCACCACATGCAGCTCACATTCTTGCTTTGTATATTAATGTGGCTGGTCAAGCAGGAATTCTTTTAGACATGAGAAAGTTTATTAGAGATAGATATCTAGGACACACTCAAAGAATGGAGTGTGGGTGCTCAGAGAAATAAAACATAATACAGTTGAGACCTGGGAATCTTTTATGGGTTTGGGACAGTAGAAAGCTGTGATATTTGATAATCTGTAGTCTTAGTTTTGTCTCCTACCTCATGGGTGGGAGACAATGGCCTACACATAGTGGGATAATCGTGCATTTGAGATAGGAGATTGCAGTGTGGCAAATACTGGCTGGAGAGGTTGTCTGCCCTGTCAACTATAAGATCAGGGACACATGTACAAAACAGTTCCCAAAGTCCTGCATGTGAACTTCTTGTCTTTTTCTTGTCTTTTTCTTTTTTTATCGGTACCAGGGATTGAACTCCGGACCACACACTCGCAAGGCAAGCACTCACGCCACTGAGCTAAATCCCCAGCATGCATGTGAACTTCTAAAAATTCCAGCAGGCTTTCAATAGGAATGCCTAGACTTGACATCAGCCTGAGGAATGAAAGCCCAGCACCACCTTTCAGGACCCAGATGTAGATGTTCTTGTGGGTTTTCTCAAGATTTGGACAATATAAAAATAAGGCAGCCATGAGAAGCTGGGGATATGCAGATTTGTGCAATAACCCACACTATGCTTTCCAGATGCAATATGTTCTTTCTCTCTTTATTTTCTTTTTTTTTCTTTCCTTTTTTTAAGATGGATTTTTTTTTAGTGCATCTTAGATCTCTAATCAATCTTCTCATATCTCTTTTACTACTGCTATAATGGGAATGGGTCTGAAGTCCCTGAGGCTGAGGCTGAAGTAAGGAATTTAACCCGCCCCTTTAAAAGAAACATACAACCTGGTGTGGTGGCTCACTATGCAGTTCAGGCTGGTCTTGAGTACACTTTGTAGCTCAGGCTGGTCTCAAACTCACAACGTTTTCCTTGTCTCAGCCTCCCAAGTGCTAGGATTACAGGTGTGTGCCAACACGCCTGGCTCTTTTCTCCCCTTTTTTCTTTTAGTTTTTTCAGCCATGCTCTTGCTACCTATGTAGTTCATGTATCTTTGAACTCACTATGTAGCCCAGCCTGAGCTTGAACTGGAAGTGAGCTTTCGGCCTCAACCTCTCGAGTGCTGGTATTATAGGCATGTGCCACCACACCAGGTTGTATATTTCTTTTAAAGGGGTGGGTTAAATTCCTTATTTCAGCCTCAGCCTCAGGGACTTCAGACCCATTCCCATGATAGCATAGTAAAAGAGAGATGAGAAGATTAATTAGAGATCTAAGATGCACTCAAAGAATGAATGATAGATGCTCAGAGAAATGAGACATTCATGATACTTTTTAAGCCTGGCATTTTTGTTAGGGATAATTATTTTTCAGATTGTTTCCCTAATTGGTAAATGAAAGGTTCTTGCCCTAGTATAAAGTAATGTACAATTATGGCGGTGGTCTAACATGGCGGAAGCCCAATGCAAGACCACTTACCACTTCTTCCTTTTTCAGCCCTAATTGCAACTCCCTTTCCTGTTTGCACACAAAAAAAATTCCAATCAGTTCCTCACATATCATCAATATCAACTCCATGTACCACTTCCAATCAGAGGTCATATAACCCTCTGCCTCTCTGTATACAATCTTAGGAGACAGCCCAGCTGCCATGGGTTATGTGCTCCTTCATACGTCCTCAATAAACCTGTTCTTTTCTTTTTTTACTTTTTGCTTCTCTATTACGCCAGAAAATGCTTAACAGTAAATGACATACATTTTGTATTATTCTTATAATTGGCTCTTGGCCTCAGACTCTCAGCAATCCTTTCTCAGCCTTCCCGTGCAGGCATCATAATAAGCATATGCCACTGAGATAAAAGATAAGGTGTGACTTAGACTAACTGGGAAGAGAGGTGTGGCAGATCCTCGAATCTATGCAGAGCCAACTCTCACCCCCGGATCCCCATATATAGAAGTTTTCACAGATTCCCATTGTTATAGGCAGCTGAGCCAGTTATAAACATTATAGACAGACAGGGGTAGGCCCTCAAAGAACCTGACACAGAGGACTAGATGACTGATGATCTTGGAGGAGACACACACCTTTTGCTGCTGGCCAGATCTCAAAACAAGACACACACCTCTTGCTGTGGGCCAGATCTCAAGACAAATGCAAGCATATCCTTAAGTATAATCCTTAAGGATTAAATCTGGATCACCTTGAGAAACCAAGAGTCACAACCCCAATCCCCTGAAGGAAGAGTCACTGATCCATAAAGAATGCTTGCTTTCTACATGACTCACTTCCCCATTTGTCCCTGATTTGGTCAATTTTACCTGAGCAATTAATATTATTGGTTGACCACAGTTCTCACTTTATGCCCACTTTGCAAATTCCCATTTCCCCCCACCTTTGAGCCTTCTAATCTCATGATTTTGCTTTGTAAAAGTCCTACAGAGTCCTTGGTAACCCGATTGGGACCCCTACTGTCTCTCTTCAGACAGGAGATTTCTCTCAATAAATATATTCTTCACCTCCGTTGTGCCTAAAATTCATTCTTTGACTTTAGAGAACACGAGCTCATTCTGGACATAGTAGTAGGCCGGGAGTTTCATTCCCCTATATCACCACGAGGTGTGGACAGCACAAGAAGACGTCATGAAGAGCTTGCTACTGTGGCTTTCCTCATGGTAGTTTGCCCTGTGTTCCTCGGGGTGTACTTTTTCCTTCTTTTATTTGGCCCAAGTTCACGCTACAGAACCAGTTTCGCCCTTACCTTTCACCTTTACTTCAAATAAACTTTGTCATTGTTTTTGCTTGTCTTATTCAGTTCTTTTTTTGAGACAAAAAAATCCTGGAAACCAATGGGTGAGCGCCTCAAAGTGTGATAATGTTTATTAAAAGATTAGTTATTAAAAGATTAGCCAGTCACATCATCACTGACCGGGCGCAGCCCCAATGAAACAGGAGACGCTCTTGTGGACGACAGTTAACTGCTACTTTATTCATGCGGGCTCTGGTTTATATATTTGGCCGTGACCAATCACAGGCTGCCACGAGGAAGCAGGGCGGGAATGGGACCCAGGCTCTGGCTACTATATCCAGCTGTGGCCAATCAGGAGTTGCCACAGAGTACCAGTGAGCACGAAGTGCCCACGGGTTGGCTAATTTAAAGAGGGACCTAGCGCATTGCAGAAGCTGGCATGGTCCTTAGTCCCGGGTGGGGTATGGTATGTTGAGCGCCTGCGCCCAACACATCACAGTAGGGTTTTGTTTTATTTTTTTTTTTCTTTGTTTTTTGAGACAGCATCTCACTATATAGTTCCGGCTTCTCTGGAAGTCATTATATGTAGCCTAGACTGGCCTTAACTCAGAGATCCTCCTTCCTCAGCCATCTCAGTCTGGGCTACATAAAAAGTGAGCTCAAGGCTAAACTGTACTACATAACAAGATCCTGTTTCAAAGCAAAGCAAAACAAAAACAACAAACCCAAAAAAGAAAACTCAGATTAAATTTAAAAGTCACTCTCTCTTCTGGCCTTAGGACGGCAGGTAGCAGAATCATGACACGGCTATGAGCAACTGTCTTCTTCAGAGGTCACCTCACAAACCTACCTCTAGAGAAACTGTCATCCACCCTCAAAACCTGGATTCTAGGTTTCTGTATTGGTGAGAAGAAGCAGGCAAAATTGTGGTTACAAGGGGAAGACCCCATTCCTTCTGAGTTTATAAGAATAGATTTTAGGGATGAGATGTGCATTTCCCACTTCAAAAGTCAGTGCAAGGCACAGGTGAGGTACTGGATTGGAAGCAAAGTTTAAGGAAATGCTACTGTGTCTCGATTACTAAGATAAGCCATACGAAGTTTATTTCCGCGACAGATTAAAAAATCAGAAAGAGGCTATGGAGGCCAAGAAAATTTCTCGGAGCCCACGAAACTCCGTCTCCTTCGTCCCAAGCTCATTTATTAGAGCCATTCGGTCCCCTCCCTGCGAGGACCCTAAATCTTCTCTGGTCTCAGGATAGTTTCAGGGCCTCACTCAGAGCAGTGACACTTCCCGTTGGCCAGGGCCACCCTTCGCCAGCCGCTCCGGCCCCAATGTCTTCCAGTAGTGCTTCTGCGCCCCTCCCAACGGCCCCTACCTGTGCGGAATGACCCAGGAATTGGTCGCACTACTACCCTACAGAGCAAGGTCTTCACCTAGCCCCACCTCCTCGGCCTGCGCGCGCTGCGCCTGCACGCTCAGCCAGTCCCTGGCGTGAGAAAAGTCCCAAATCTACACGCGGAAGGATGTCCGAGTGCGAAATACGGCCTGCCCGCCACACGCAGGCGCAGTCATTGTGTAGGGATCTTTGCAGTTAGCTGTCGGAAGGGGTCGCTCAGGGGCTCAGTCCGGTGCCCGCCCCGGGGTGGGCTGGGTGGAAGGGCGGGTCAGGAACACCAGTCTGATGGGGCTGGTGGGCGGCCGCAGGCGGAGAGGGACAGGCTGCGCGGTGTCCCCGCCCTGTGCCCGGGCCGGGCCGGGGGTGTCCTCGGTTGCGCGGCCCGCGGGCGGGTGAAGTGCTTGGGTTGGACGCGGCGCCATGCGCGGCCCGCCTGCCTGGCCGCTGCTGCTACTAGCGCGGCTGGGCCCGCACGCACGCACGTGGACGCCGTCGGGCCCTGTGTGGGCCACAGCCGCCCGGGCATGGACCCCGACTCCTCGTGCCCTTGTGACCCTGCCGGCGTGGATGGGCCTGCAGCCCGGGCTGCCGGGAGGCGTGAGCCTCTCGCGTGCCGTGGTGCGCTGGGCCGGGTCCCCTGTGACCCGCAGGTACGCAGCCCTGTCCCAACCGCGTCCCCAGCGTGCTGGGCTCCAGGGCGTCCCCGCGGCGGCGGCGGCCCGGACGAAGGCAGAGGTTGAGCGGCGCGCGCCGGCGGTGGACCCCGGGGATGACAGACAGACGCGCCCCGCAGCTGGGCGCTCAGAGGCTGGCAAGCTGCTGGCGCTCGTGCGCCCGGAGCGTGGGAGGCTGGCAGGTAAGGGAGCCGAGCCGCAGGGACATTGGGCAGCGGGGACGGGCAGCAGGTGTCCTCCGGATCGTGCCGGGCGATGACAGCATCTACTACTGTATTCCGTCCGCCCACCACCAATTTCATGGGATTGCCTGCGTTAGAGTATTGTTAAGAGTGAGCTGGAGTTCCCCTCGTTAAAACAACACCAAAAAACCAAACTATGCCTACCTTGTATTATGTGTTTGTGTTATTTGCAAAATATTGTGCACAGTAAAGGGACGTGGTCTGAACCCCTAGACTACAGGGCTATCACCTCTGTTTGGTGAGCATGGTGACACTCGGTCGGGACGGTCGGGACGGTGGCATGGACCCCCACCCGAGAAACCATAATACAATTGAATGATGATTGAGTAGCTTTTTAAAAGAATGAAAATAAAAGTTTTCTACAGCTCATTTTTGGCCACGAGTAGAGGGATTTTTATTTTCATTTTTTAAATTATTTATTTATTTTTGGTACCGGGGATCAAACTTGTGCTTGCCAGGCAGGCACTTATGCTGCTGAGCTAAATCCCGGCCCACATGGAAGAATTTTTAAACATAAGGGCCTGATAAATGCTAAAATTTTTTGAGGTTTTTCTAAATCGTCATTTTTTTCTTTAAATATGTGTTTAATCCAGTGGCCCATGTCTATAATCACAGCACACTGGGAGGCTGAAGCAAGGAGGGTCCCAAGTTGGAGGCCACCCCACCTGAACAATTTAGCAGTTTGGCCAGATTAGGTCTCAAGGCTGGGCATGTAACTCAGTGCAAAGACTGCAGGTTCAAAAAATGAGTTGAGCCCTTGTCATGCTGGTCAAAAGAAAATGGATAGTCCAATCTTGCTGGAGGGAAAGAAACATTAAGGAAATCATCATGACTGAATATAATATAACCCAGAGTCTCTGAGGTTACCTGTCAGACATTACTTGCTATAGAAAGTGCCCTCCTGGGGAGGGATGTGGGATTTGAGACAGGCATGCACTTTGAGGACAGGTTGGTGCCACCTTTCATCTGCTGCCTGCACAAATCTAGGGGTTGTCTTGATATACTTCATCCTAGGAGCTGGGCTACCTCATCAAAACGTTGGATGAGTGATTTGAGAAATCAGCCTGTGGTTGGCACATTGATTTTTTAAAACTTTTCGTTTATTTTTATTTTTTATTTTTGAGATAGGGTCTTTCTGTGTCATGGAGGCTGGCCTTGAACTGTACCCCTTCTAGCCCCACCCTGGAGTGCTGGGATCACAGGCACGCACCACCTTGCCTGGGTTTTTAACAGTGACAGAGTTTGTTTTTAGAAAGTAAAAGTGAAGAGTGGGGTTGAAATTGGCTTTGCAGAGTAAGATTGGGCCAAGTAAAAGGAGAAAAAGGGTAAAGGCAAAAATGAAAGTATACACTGCATCTGTGAAATGCAGCACAAGCCATCTTGGAAAGTTACAACATCCTGACTTTTTAAATAGAAAAATATACATGAGGAAATATGATCAAAATTCGTTTTTAGAGTTAATGGTTTCCTCAAAAATCTTTGTGCATTACATACAAAAGCACTCTGATTGTTGGTGTTTGTGGGGCCAAGAGAAAGTAGAATTGCAGCCATTGATTCATAACTGATCCTCCTGAGAGGATTTGGGCCTTGATACCCCTCAGACACAGCAGGCACAGAGCCATTGCTTGTGTCTTTAAAACAAGAGACCAGAAATACCAAGGTGAAGAGAATTCCAGTGTTTGTTAATTTCTAGAAAACACACAAATCTCTTTGCAAAATTGTAGTTTCATATTTGAATAACTAAAAATCCTTCCACCTACTTAGCAGTTTTCTAAGTAAGGGGGTATGCCCCCTGAACTATGTGGTTAGAAAGCTGTGATAGTAAGTAATTTGTGTCAGAACTTTGGAAAACAGGGCCTGTTTATGAAATGTGTGCAGGTGCTTGTCCATGGCAAGGCTAATGTGATCTATGTCCCTTTTGCTTCTTGACAGCTGCTTTCCTGCACTTGGTCTGCAGAGCTGTCTGGAGCTCTTTCGTGCTGGTAACTTCTTCCTCTTATCACTTTAGCCACAAGGACCCTCAGGAGATACAGGGCCCCCAGAAGGAGCTGGGTGTGCACTGACCAGATAGCAGGTATTTCATCAGCTTCCCTGTGCCAGATGATAGGGAGGCTGGGCTCTGCCCGCCCAGTAGGTGGGGGCCCTTGGGTTGCCATGTCCTGAGAATGTGACACCAGCCAGGAGAACTTTTGTGTGCTGTGCCTTGGCTCTGACATAGCTGGCAGGCAGGTCTCTGCTTGGGCTGTGGTGGCCCAGCATATACTCTCACGCTAGTGTCTGGTGCACCCCTGTGTGAAGGTCTCAGAGGGTGCCTCTTTCTCTTTGAATTACTGGTAAGGATTCATATGTTTTGAGATCATGACTATTCCCAGAACTTGACAACTGCTGAGTTGGGCTGTATTTCAGGAGGATTCCTTTGAGTAACTGCAAGGGATACAGTAAGCATACTGTAGTCCAGGGAGTGAGGAGAGGGGAGAGCTGCTGCTTCATGACACCTAGGACAAGGACAAGATGACAAGCCTTTTTTTTTTTCGGTCTTTTTGAGGCAGGGTCTCGCTATGCAGTCCAGGCTGGCCTTGTGCTCACTTTGTAGCTTAGGCTGGTCTCGAACTGGCAATAATCCTCCTGCCTCAGCCTCCTGAGTGCTGGGATTACAGGCGTGAGCCACCATACCTGGCTAAAACTTTGTCTTTTTTTTTTTTTGTACCCTGGATTGAACTCACAACCTCGTGCTTGACAGGCAGGCACTTATGCCACAGAGCTAAATCCCCAGCTTTTAGCCTTTTTGAGTATTATTTTGAAACAGAATTCTCACTAAGTGGCTAAATTGCTCAAGCTGGCCTGGAACTTACAATCCTTCTGCCTCAGCCTTCTGTAGTTTGTGCATCACCATGCCCAGGATCGTTTCATACTTGAGTACCATGAGTATGAGTATAATGGAAGAATGAGTATAATGGGAGAATGCTTGAGGATATGTCAGAAATTGACAGAGCAAGTGGGCTGTGGTCTAGTGCGGGGAGCAAGCAAGCAACTCAGCCATGGGAAAAAGGTGGAGACAAATGTGAGAAGAATTATCATGCACTGAGCATGTGCCGGGCTGGGGATAGAACCTGAAATATGAGATGAGACTATTCATTCATATTAGAAAGCAGTGACACATAGCCAAAACGGGATTATAAGAATCCAAGTAACTACCTGGGTAGATAGATCTGGTAGCACATTTACAATCCCAGGGAGTCTGCTGAAGGAAGATCAAAAGTTGAAGACCAACCTGGGCAACTTACTAAAGCCTTGTTTCAAAATAAAAAAAAAAACAAAGTTAGCTAGAGCTGTAGCTCAATATTCTCATGGTTTAATCCCCAGTACCATTAAAAAAAGGAAAGAACCCAAGTAACCAAAAGTTAGAAAAATCTTTTATTTTACTTCCATTCAGTGTGTAAGAGAACAAGCTGTCAATATAGGTTTTTTTTTTTCCGGTATTGGGGATCAAACTCATGACCTCATGCCTACCAGATAAGTGCTTATGCCACTGAGCTAAATCCTGGGCCTTAGCTTTTTTTTTTTTTTTAAACTGAGTGTGGTACATGATTGTAGTCACAGTTACTTGAGAGACTGAGGCAGGAGGACTGCTTAAATCTTGCAGTTTGAGGCCAACCTGAGCAATGTAGTGAGACTGGATCACAAAACACACATTTGAGTTAACTTTTTTTTTGGTACCGGGGATCAAACTCACGACCTTGTGCTTGCCAGGCATGCGCTTGTGCCGCTGAGCTAAATTCCCAGCTTGAGTTAACTTCTTATAGATATATTTAAATATTCATAATGGTAATATTTATCACAGGGAATTTGTATCTGTACGTATTGTTTTTCCCATTTCCCTCCTCCTCTTCAAATCCTCTTCCTGTCCTTATTTACAAAAGATTTGTTTCCATTTTTTCCTTCTGTTTTATTTTCTTGTCCCTTCTTTCATTTCTCCCTCTCTGTCTTGCTCCACTTCAACTTTACACATTTTCTTCCCATTTACCAATATCTATTATACATTTTGGTCCTTATTTACACTTGCAGTTTTTCACACCAGAGAAGCAGTGCAATACTTACACATGTGTGTCCAATTTATTTCACTTAAGAGTATGGTCTCAGGTTGTATCCATTTAGCTAGAAACATCTGAAACTTATCCTTCTTTATGGGAGAGTAGTACTCCATTGTATAAAAACACCACATCTTAAATATCCATTCATTGTTGAATGGACATTTGGGCTCTTTCCAAGATTTAGCAATTACAAAATGTGCTGCTATAAACATGGGTGGGCATTATATGTCTGTGGTGTGATGCTTTTAATTCTTTCAGGAAGATACCAGGAAGCAGAATAGCTGGGTTGAATGGAACTTCTGGTTTTTGTTTTTTAAGGAATCTCCACAATGTTTTCCACAGTGGTTGTATGGGTCCACATTCCCACAAACAGTGAAGGATCCCTTTTTCTCCACAGCCCAACCTAGCATTTATTATTTGTTGATTTTTTTCATAGTAGCCATTCTTCCAGGAGTGAACTAGAATCTCAGCATTATTTTAATTAGTGTCTCTTAAATGACCAGTGATGTTGAACATTTTTTCATACCTATATTTGCTATTTCTGTTTTTCTTTTCTTTTCTTTTCTTTTTTTTCAGTAGGGATCGAACTCATGACCATTAAGCTTGCCAGGCAGGCACTGTGCTGCTGAGCTATATCTCCAGCAATGCCCATTTTTGGATTGGGTCTTTAAATTTGGAGGACATGATTTTTTTTTTCCAGTTCTTTATATAATCTAGATAGTAATCCTTTGTCTGAGGAACAAATGGCCAACATTCTTACACTGTGTGTTGTCTCTTCACCCTGTTGGGTGTTCTATTGTGCGAAAGAAGGCTTTTTAATAAGATGAAATCCCAGTTGTGCCATTTCCT